TCCTCTACATGAAAGATAAACAGACTGAAAAAGAAATTAGGGAAATGACACCCTTCACAATAGTTGCAAATAATATAAAATACCTTGGTGTGAATCTAACCAAGCAAGTGAAAGACCTGTATGACAAGAACTTCAAGTCTCTGAAGAAAGAAATTGAAGAAGATCTCAGAAGATGGAAAGATCTCCCATGCTCATGGATTGGCAGGATTAATATAATAAAAATGGCCATCTTGCCAAAAGCAATCTACAGATTCAATGCAATCCCCATTAAAATCCCAACTCAATTCTTCACAGAGTTAGAAAAGGAAATTCTCAAATTCATATGGAATAACAAAAAACCCAGGATAGCGAAAACTATTCTCAACAATAAAAGAACTTCTGGAGGAATCACCATCCCTGACCTCAAGCTGTACTACAGAGCAATAGTGATAAAAACTACCTGGTATTGGTACAGAAACAGGCAGGAAGATCAATGGAATGGAATTGAAGACCCAGAAATGAACCCACACTCCTATGGTCACTTGATCTTTGACAAAGGAGCTAAAACTGTCCAGTGGAAAAAGGACAGCATTTTCAACAAATGGTGCTGGTTCAACTGGAGGACAACATGTAGAAGAATGAAAATTGATCCATTCTTATCCCCTTGTACAAAGCTCAAGTCTAAGTGGATAAAGGACCTCCACATAAAACCAGATACACTGAAACTAATAGAAGAGAAGGTGGGGAAAAGCCTCGAATACTTGGGCACAGGGGAAAAGTTCCTGAACAGAACTCCAATGGCATATGCTCTAAGATCGAGAATTGACAAATGGGACTTCATAAAATTGCAAAGTTTCTGTAAGGCAAAGGACACTGTCAATAGGACAAAACGACAACCAACAAATTGGGAAAAGATCTTTACCAATCCTTCATCTGATAGAGGGCTAATATCCAATATATACAAATAACTCAAGAAATTAGACTCCAGACAACCAAATTGCCCTATTAAAAAATGGGGTATAGAGCTTAACAAAGAATTTTCAACAGAAGAAACTCGAATGGCCGAGAAGCATCTAAAGAAATGTTCAGCATCCTTAGTCGTCAGGGAAATGCAAATCAAAACAACCCTGAGATTCCATCTCACACCAGTCAGAATGGCTAAGATTAAAAACTCAGGTGATAGTAGATGCTGGCGAGGGTGTGGAGAAAGAGGAACACTCCTCCATTGTTGGTGGGACTGCAAGATGGTGCAACCACTTTGGAAATCAGTCTGGCGGTTCCTCAGAAAATTGGACATAGCATTACCCGAGGATCCACCTATACCACTCCTAGGCATATACCCAGAAGATGCTCGAACATATAACAAGGACATATGCTCAACTATGTTCATAGCAGCCTTATTTATAATAGCCAGGAGCTGGAAAGAACCCAGATGTCCTTCAACTGAGGAATGGATTCAAAAAATGTGGTATATTTACACAATGGAGTATTACTCAGCTATTAAAAACAATGAATTCGAGAGATTCCTAGGTAAATGGATGGAACTAGAAATTATCATCCTGAGTGAGGTAAGCCAATCACAAAAGAACACACATGGTATTCACTCACTGATTATTGGATATTAGCCTAGAACCTTGAAATGCCCAAGATGCAACTCACAGGCCACATGAAGCCCATAAAGAAGGAAGACCAAGTGAGGGTGATTCGGTCCTTCTTAGAAGGAGCAACAAAATACTCAAGGGAGCAAATATGGAGACAAAGTGAGGGACAGAAACTGAAGGAGGGGCCATCTCAAGACCACTCCACCTGAGTATCTATCCCATGTGCAATCACCAAATGTAGATGCTGATGTGGAAGACAGGAAGTGCATGCTGATAAGAGTCTGATATGGATATCTCCTCAGAGGCCTTCAAGAGTCAGACATATTCAGAGGCAGATGCTCACAACTAGCCATTGAACTGATCATGGGGTTCTCAATAGAGGAGTTAGAGTGAAGAATGAAGGAGCTGAAAGGATTTATGGCACCATGAGGAGAGCAACAATACCAACCAACCACAGCTCCCAGGGTCTAAACCACCAGCCTGGGAGCACTTAGGGGGGGATCCAGGGCTTCAGCTGAATATGTAAAAGTGGAGGGCCCTGCTGGGCATAGGTGGAAGAAGAGAACCTTGACCTCATGAAGGCTGGATGCCCCAGGGGGTGGGAATTTTGAGGGTGGGGAGATGGGAGTGGGAGGGGGTTGATAGAGGTTACATCCACAGAGAAGAAGGAGGAGGGGCGAGGGGATTGGGGGTTCCGAGGGGGTGGTGGGGGATGGGGTAAGGGGACAACATAGGAAATGTAAATAAATCATCCAATAAAAAAAAAAAAAGAAAATTACTAGTGTATAAATTTCCTCGTGTTTTCATTTAAGAAACAATACCAGAACCGGTGAAATGAGTCAGTTGGAAAAAGCACTTCTAGTGCAAGCCTGACAACCTGAACCCGGGGAAAAAAACTCCCACCAGCTGTCCTTTGAACTTCACACATATGCCATCGCAAGTGTACTCATGCATGCACACATATACACATGCATGATGCACTCACACACACATGCAAACACACACAGAGCACATGAATGCACTCAAACACAGGTGTATCCACCCATACATGCTCATATATGCCCAATACATACACATACAATAATTAAAATTTAAAATATAAAAATTACAATCTGAAACAGCAGCATAATACATATATGAGCATACAAAGCATTTCTGGCTATTTGTTGTGGTTCATGTCTGTAATTTCAATACTGGGGAGGCTGATGCAGAATAACAGTGTGAGTTCCAGACTAGTCAAAGCTACACAGTAAATTCCAGAATAGCTTGGGCTAGAGAATGGGACCTTATCTCAAAAATCAAAACAGAAAAAACTATTGTATGTGTATGTGCATATGTGTGCACACATATGTATGTACACATGTATGCATGCATGTGTGTGAATATATATGTATACATACGCATATAACTATTCTGAAAGTTTAATTTCTAAGCATTTGTGCCTTGCCTCAAGTTTTTAGACCTTGTGAAATAGAGAATCAAAAAAAGAAGATATAATGACTCTTGTATTTTTCTTAAATGTGACCAGTTATTCAGACTCAATCATGTACTGGTCTAGAAATCAATCCAATATTGGAAATAACAGCCTTCATTTGGAAGTCTGATTCTGGACATTTTCAGAGACATATTTGGAAGTTAGCTGCAGTTCTCTATGATGTTATGTTTTCAAGAGATAAAGTTGGGGCATCTGGATCTCAAACAAGTGTTACTACATGTGTTAAGGCTCTTTTAATTGTCAAGTTAAAATTACGTTTGTTTCTACTACAGTATTTAATGTAAGTTGCATTGATTGTACATTTTCTAATTGTGTTAGTGTGTTGAAATCTGGCATGTCAGTTACAGAGCTCTATCAACCAGCTTTTGTTTTATTGCTCTGAGTATCTCAGAACCTTGGTCTTTTGAAAAAAATCTTGCAAGTACTGGAAGAAGTGAGTCAGGCTTTAAGCAGAATCAGGAGGGTAGTGAGCTTGATTATTGCTGGTATAACAGTTTTAATTACATTAATTGCTAGCACTACTGTTTCTGCAATTGCTTTGACACAAGAAGTTAAGACAGCTACTTTTGTTAATCATTTAGCAAAAAATGTTACTAACGTGTTGAATATACAAGAGGATTTAGGTAAGTATTTGGAACAACTAATTGATACTCTTTATCCAATTCAAATTATTGGAAGGAGGTTCAGAGTTTAAGAGTAAGAAGCCATCTTGAGTGTCATGCCAAATACCATTGGATTCATGATAGTTCTAAAATTTACAGTGGTAGTCATTATAATTAGGAAAAAGTTTAAAGACATTTGCAGTGTATTTGGCGTATTCTAACACCTCTCTGGATGTTTTAACTTTGCATAGTAAGTTATAAATTTAAAGAATGCTGCTCTGCTGAGCATTGATGTGGCAGATACTGCTGATAAAATTACCCATGGCCTGAGGTCAGTATTTCTATTTTGGTCAAGCTTCAAGATACATAGCTTGATTATGCTAGCCCATTTTGTCCTGGGAATACTTTTATTCCTGCCTATCGTGTTAAAGCTTGTCTTTAACAACATCAACATGTTGGCATCCAAAGTACATGGCTTGAACCTGAAAATGGACCCCCAGACAGAGTTATTAAATTAACTCTGGCTGGCAAGCCAAGGATGGGTAAGATTCTGCACAGAGCCTTACCAACCTAAGACATAAATACATTGCTTTTGATAATGCATATTCCACAACGGGTAAGGAAGGCATTCTTGTCAGCTTAAGACAGGCTGAGTCTTGTTTATGAAATTAAAAAGGAGGAGAGGTGAAGAGCCTTTGGGGCTGCTTGGCAGGAATCTGACATTGGCCAAGGACAAGGAAGTGGGCTTCAGGCAGGAATCTGACATTAGGCCAGAACAAAGAAGTAATTTCAGGCAGGAATCTAAATCTTAGGTTAGAACAAGAAGTAATTTCAGACAGGAATCTAAATTTTAGGCTAGAACAAGGAAGTAGGCTTCAGACATGAAAATGGCTTTGGGCTACGACAGGGAAGTAGGCTCAGATATTTTGGTCATCCTGATAAATCCTTAGAAACAGTGATCATGGGAGTGTTCAAGGAATTTTGTTTAATGCCTTGCTTGTTCTTTGACTATTTGTGTTTATTGTCTTGCTTGTTCCTTGACTATTTGCATCTGTTGTATTGTTAGTCCCTCAACCAAGAACTGACCTTAATACTTGCATGTAATTAAAATGGTATAAAAGCAAAAAGGAGGAGGGGGGTTGGATAGGGGGTTTTTAGGGAGGGGAAATGGGGAAAGGGGATGACATCTGAAATGTAAATAAATAAAATATCCAATAAAAATAAGAAAAACAACATAAGTAAATAAAAGATCACAACATACACAAAAAAAGAGAAAATGAAATGAAAGAAAAAAAATGAATGAACAATCGCTTCAAAGCTTACCACATGGAAGTGCTGTTTATGCAGCCAAAAATCCAACTATTTGTATCCTGTTGGTTAATAACAGAAAACAATGATATAAAACAAGCATTTCCAATACTTTCCTGTTATATATGATAATGTTTACAGAAAAATATATGGACTCATTGATGGTTAGGATCAAGAAAAACATAGTAGCAGTTTATGACTAAGAAACATGCACTAAGAAACGTTCTTAAAAGACACACAGGTCAAGGATAGGCCAAAAGTAGACCAGTAACTTGGATGGCCTAGGTAAGCAGCTAACCTTGAGCAGCAGCATGAGACTGCCCTCAGGGCACTTGCAGAACCTATCATCTGAATAGTTCTAACTGTTAACTTTCAGTTTCATAATGTCCACACTTTAGTTACACATAAAACACCCATAGCCAGGAAGGTAAAAAGAATTAAAAATGAATGCCTTCAATTTAAAAAGTCTGCCTATACTCAGCTTTTTACTTTATTGTCTGCATTTTCATTTACTACCAGGACATAACTTCTGTATTACGAGGAATGTGTTTAGTCTCAAACCCAATACCTCATCAGCACAGAATCAGATGCTACAGGAAGAACGGCTCTAATATTTTTTTATTTTTTTATTTTTAGTATTATTATTATTTTCTTTTTTTTTTTTGGTTTTTCGAGACAGGGTTTCTCTGTGTAGCCCTGGCTGTCCTGGAACTCACTCTATAGACCAGGCTGGCCTCGAACTCAGAAATCCGCCTGCCTCTGCCTCCCAAGTGCTGGGATTAAAGGCGTGTGCTACCACCGCCTGGCTGGCTCTAATATTTTTAAACAAAGCATCCTACATTTAGCTTTGGTTATTAAAAAAAGCACCACCACCTGAGACGTTTATTCCAATTTCTACAGAAGCAAAAGTGATGTCATGAAATATAATTTTTCTTCCTATTTTTATATAGGCTTAAAAGTATTACAATAAAAATTACAAAGCAAAAATTTTAATTCACATATTATTTTATGGTAATTAATACTCACTGCTTAGTTACTCTTCTACTGCTGTGACAAAAGTGACCAAGGCAACTTATAGAAGAAAGCACTTAATTTGGGGTTCATGGCTCCAGAGGGTTAGAGTCCATGACGCTCATGGCATGACCATCATGGCAACAGGCAGGCAGGCATGATGCTGGAGAGTAACTGAGAGCTCACATCTCCATCCAAGCCCAGGCAGAAAGTCTAAGTGGAAATGGTGTGGGCTTTTGAAATCTTGAAGTCTACCCCATGACGTATCTCCTCTAACAAAGCAATCTCTACAAATCCTTCCCAAACAGACCTACCAACTTGGAACTAAGTATTCAAATATATGAGTCTACAGGAACCATTTTAATTTAATCTAACACATCTATAGACATTAAAGAAAACAATCTCCTACTCACTTAAATGGATGATCTGCATTTTGACAAGTATTTTTCTCAATATAATCTTGACCTCCTGCTATGGTATGAGTATGAACCATTCCCCATAGGCTTATGTTTTTGAACACTTGTTTTCCAGCTAACTATGCCATTTTGAGAGGAAGTGGAATCTTTAGGAGGTGAGGCCTACCAGAAAGAAGTGGGATGGTGTGGGGAAGCCACTGGGGGTTATAGTCCCAGTTCTGATCCCAGCTGTGCTTCCCAATTTACTGAGATGCGAGGGGTCCTACCAGCTGCAAGATCTGCTCCATCAACTGCCTCACCTTCCTGCCATGACGGATGGTACCCAGCTCAACCATAAGCAAAAATAAACTCCTCCGTAAGTTGTCTCCTTCAGGTATTTGATCACAGTGAAAATGAATGTAACTAACCCACCTCCTAGTTTGTAATTCAGCATTATATTATTAATGGACTCGCTAGAATATCATCATTCTCAGAACCAACTGCCTATCCTGATTTTAGGTTAAGAGATGCTGATATCTAAGAGAGATAAAAAGCTAGTAATTACACTAAAATGGATTTTTAAAAATCATGACCGCAGTGGCAATCTACCACCTTTTCTTTAAAACTGTTCTCCATATGTTTTTTCAGCTGTTAAAGTCTACACACCAGGTCTGAGTTCTGCATACATGTAATCTCTGCTACTCAAGAGCCTGGGGCTGGAGAGATGGCTCAGCAGTTAAAAACACTGACTGTTCTTCCAGAGGTCCTGAGTTCAATTCCCAGCAACCACATGGTGGCTCACAACCATCTGTAATGAGATCTGATGCCCTCTTCCGGTGTGTCTGAAGACAGCTACAGTGTACTTATATACATTAAATGAATAAATCTTATAAAAAGAAAGAGCCTGGGCAGAATATCGAAAGACCTACCTATATGAGGCAAGAATCAGCCCCACACAAGTAATACAAATAACAAAAACTTAACAGATAAGGAATTAAGTTATGAAAGATGAGACATAATATAAAGAATCCTGAATACTATCCTTACACAGACTAAGCCATTCTAGTCTAGTCTATATAGGACAACTTACTGTATGTGTATTTAGCAGGTATTTGCTTTGAAAGCGTATGCCTGTATTCTAGTCATTCTACTGTCCTACAGAGCATCTGGCCTAAAAAGCACCTGCATTCTAGTATGTGATCACATAGTAAACAAGGTTCATTTCTTAAAACTCTATCAGGACAGCTTTATCAACTATGCTTATCCTTTAAAAACTAACAGAAGTTTAGGATTCAATTCCTCACCCTCAGGACAGTAAATCTAAGGTAGAAGAACAGGGCAAAGACTCAAGTAGAAGTTAAGAGAGCATTATCAGTTATAGGTGAACTGTGCTTAATAGTTTTCAATCAAAACACTGTTCAAAACAAATGTTTCTAAGTGACTCAACTTAATGACAATTAAAGCTAATTCTATTAGACCATCAGTTGAAACTAAGAGAATGAATAACAGCTTTCAAATTTAAATAAGATATGCTGATCTTCTTACCAGCATGGTGCTCTGACAATAGGCATGAGTGAAGACTTTTCTATGATTTGCAAGAGGAAATGCAAAGTAAATCTTATCAGATTCCTAAAAAAGAGAGAAAAGAATTTAAGTACAATGTATGAATAATTTCATCATTCTAAACTCATGGTAACAAGAATAAATAGTTATCACATTATTGCTGTTACTAAGAACCAGCTGGCTAGGACTGGAAGGTAAAGGATAAGGAGGCAGGAGGTTATGACTGCGTCAGTGTCTGTGCATCTGAGTGTGATGATTTACCTATAGTTGCTGTTTTTGTTTTATTTTGTTTTTGTTGTTTTTTTGGTTTTTTTTTGAGACAGGGTTTCATTTTATAGCAATGCCTGGTCCAGAACTTGCCATATAGACGAGGCTGGCCTCAAACTTTCAGCAATCCTCCTGCCTCTGCCTCCCAAGTGCTGGGATTAAAGGTGTGGTGTGCACCACCATGCATGGCTGTGAAAATTGAGCTTTCAATCACTCTGGCTACTGAAAAGGTTGTATAATCAACAACCTAGTAACCATAGCCAGATTCTGGTTCGAAGGTAGTTTCATGAATGAAACAATTCCTTAAATAAATAGCAAACTCACTCATAGTATGGCACTCATCTGGAGAATGGGCATACTAACAGACACAACTAAGTAGCTGTACTGAAAAGATTAAGGAGACAAACTTGGGATGGCTTCAACTTGTCAGGCAAAGATTCGATGAACTCAGTGAGTGCAAACATATTCCTATCCATGAGTTGACAGCAGACACCCTGGGAATGTGAACAAGCTAACTCACTACTCTAACAGCCACAACCAGTACACACACGTACAATACACAAGAACGGAGCTTCCTTTCCTGTGACATTTGTCTTACTTTTGACAAACTTCGTAGATAAGGGGAAATTTTTCTGTGAAGTATTCTAACCAGTAAGTGAAAGAGAGATAGGATGTGATCATTTTTGCGTACTAAATTAATTCATCCAGACATTCCCTGCCAACTGTTCATGTCTCAGGTTAGAGATTCTAGGGGGGGAAAACCTAATAAAAATACAATCCATCAGGCATTTAGATCTAATTACTAAATCATAGGAAAGGTTCGTAAATCATAGGAAAAGTTGGTAAAAGAATATAGTGAATGACCACAGAAATGCAGTCAGCAAAATGAACTAACATGAAATTCCATCACTAAAAAGTGACTAATATTTTGTCAATAATTTTCAAAGAAAATAGGAGTTAAGAATATACTGAAGAGGAATACAGACACATCAGCCAACAGGGATGTATAAGCCTCATTTGGATCCTTAACTAAACAAATTGAACAAAGAAAAACGGTCCAAATTTATGATAAAACAGGTAAATTAACAGATTCAATATTTATTACTAAGGCATTCTTACCAAATCATGGAAAAATTAGATGTTATTTGTTCTTAAAAGTTCCTAACTTTTAAAGATAACTATGAGAATAAGTTTGGACAAAAATACACTTGTAGAATACTTACATTATAAGCCACATAGGACCATCTGGACACTTTCACTGGAACCCACATAGATGTCCCTTAATATGAAGGAAATTAATTTTATTTGCCTCATTTTGTTTCCATATTACAAATTTTCCTTCTTTTTTAAATTCTGATAAATACTTACTAACAATAACAAACAAATGGTCCTATACCAGCTACTTTAAGAGATAAAATCCAGGAATTGACTCTTTGTGCTTAGCAGCAACCAGTGTTCACATCAGGTAAGAATTATAAACCTACTCAGCATCTTTAGCTCAATGGGATTCTCAATAGAATGAAATGAGATTACTTTTTCCATGCAAAACATTTAAATGACAAACACGGTGTATGCTTAAGAGCAAATTTATCAATGAAATAATGTGCTGGTAACTCAAAAGAAGTTTGAAGAGTAAATGACTGAGAAATAAGGATGCTATAAATAATACAGCCTGCGTGACTATCAGGAAAAACAAGGGTATGTAACTCCAAAACTTTTCTATTCATCAAGTTATTTCCAGCACAAAACTTTTATCAGCATCCTACAATTTGCTTTTCTATTTTACTGTTTCAAACCAAAAACTTGTTAGCACCCTGATAGGGAAATCAGTAATAATAAAACCATAATATTTGAAGTATTCCAATTTCCCACTAGTACCAAATACTAACTCTGTACTAATAACAGATTTATCAAAAATAATAATGAAAAGTTCTACTTTAAAGGCTGCTACCACAAACCTGTTAGGTCAGAAATTATGGATGGATTTTCCTCAAACTGTTTAGCTGGGTGTCTTATAAAATGATGATTCAAAACAGACAATTTCTTCTTAGGCTTTTGAGTTATCTAGAAAGAACATCAATATAGTCTAGATCATTTACATCATGACAATTAGATGAAGCATTACTTTGAGTAATAAACACTCAACATTTACTCTCTCTGAGCCAGGCACTGTTCTAAAACAATACACTATTAACTCTAAGCCTCACAAAAACTCTAAAAGGTAGTTATGTACCTGCATTAAAAAAAAAACCACTAAGGCACAGAGAAATAATCTGTTTAAAGTTACTCAACTATTAAAATTCGGGGCTACAATGCTCTGTTGTAATGAAAACATACTATCTCAAACACTAATGTTTTCTCCAGGAGGAAGAATCCAGAGCCTCAGCTCTTAAAACCATTCCAACAGAACAGAGATACTCTGCAAGATGACCTGAGGGAAGACAGTTTAAGATGAATAATAGCAGCTTGTTCCTAATTCACAGAAGACCCTGAAGCTAATGAACACAAGCCTGTTAATTATGCTGAAACGATGCCTACCACAACCCAGTCAGCAGTCGGTAAGAAAGTGACAAAGTAACACACTGTTCTGTACAGGGCATGGTGATTTCTGTGCTCTGTTAACTGAACAACTCGAAACCAGGTTTGAAGAATTGAAATGTGAGATCTCATTACAGAAATGATTCAACCTGGGCAGTACACAGGTAAGTCTCTCGTGAGCGTGAGTTACCGAAAACCTGCATACATTCTGATCTTATTAATATGCTGAAGAAAACTTTACAACATGGTTCAAGAGAACCTAGTTCAAAATACATTACTAAGAAAAATTATTAGTCTGTAATAAATATTTTTCTTAAATTAAAAGATAAAAGCTGGAGAAATATGTATGAAACTCTGAACTGCTCAAAGAGCTAAGGGTAGATTTAAAGGACCCTTTGCTCTTTAGTTTCCTCGCTTCCTAAACTAATGGTGTGCACAGCATACCAGAAGATATGAAGATATTTCCATTTCAGAACTAATCTAAATTGATATAAGGTCCAGGTTTCTCTTAGTATCTATGCTGAAATGAATTAAATCTATTAGTACTAACAAAAGCTTTCACTTTGCTAAAATAAGCTTTCAGTTTAACAATGCATACTTGTTTGGTATCGGCATCAATAAGATCAAAGAACGCTCGAATTGTAGTCAACTGCAATTGTTTACACCTAAAAAATAAAGGAAGCACATAACATTTTCTTAAAACACATATTTTTTTATTTGAAATTGTTACTAGTGTGGCATTTATTTACTAAAGATATGTTAGAAACCATCATACTTTTTTTATTCTTTGAAAATTTCACATCTTGACCATATGTACCCCTTGCTTCTTCCCCAATCCTTGCCTCATCTAAAACTTCACATCTTGACCGTATGTAGCCCTCGCTTCCTCCCCAACCCTTCCCTCATCTCCCACGCCACACCTCCTTTCCAACTTCATGTCCTCCTCTTAAATTTAGTTCACTTTTTAACTCGCTAAATCCAGCTAATCCCACCCATACACGCATGAGTGCGGGGTAATCCAGAGGTAATGAGGACTCTACCACACCAGACCTCACACCACAGTGACTCTCCCTCTCCCACAAGCTGTCAACTGACAGTTTCGATTCAGATATGCACAATTCTATTAGTTAACGGAGTATATTATATTTCCTTAATGCTGTACACTAAAAGGCATTCAACAGATCATTCTTACTAAGTGTTTATATTAAGGATGAAACATATTAAAGCACAGCAAATTAAATCTTTCTGGGTATCTGACAGCAGAGCATGCTTTCTGCCGCCCATGTGACTTCCAGCTACAGGCACTCGATATTTCTGCTTCCCCCTACATGCCTGCACTGTGTGGGGCTTGAAGACACTGTGGCTTGTGCAGGCAGAGGAAGAAAGGATAAAAGAATTTTTTAAAAGATTTATTTATTTTATGTATATGAGTACACTGTAGCTGTCTTCAGACACAGCAGAAGAGGCATCGGATCCCATTACAGAAGGGCATGAGCTACCAGGTGGTTGCTGGGAATTGAACTCAGGACCTCTGGAAAACCAGCCAGTGCTCTTAACCAGTCATCTCTCCAGCCAGAATAAAAGACTCTTAAAGCCATAGCCCAAGGAGCTAGACACTGGAGCCTTTGCTTTCTTGATCCATATGCAATCTCTTCCGTTTCTATATATTAGGTATAGATCTAGTCTCTAATTGGTTTCCACGGCTGCTCCCAGCAGCCGTCACCACATTAGCTGTATCTGGGTGCAGTGATTGGCCAGGAGCTCAGAAGGGTCTCTGCAGGCGCATCTGACTGCCCAGCTATGACAAAATCTAAATTTAGTATTTGATGCTGGTGACAATCAGAGTGATCTAACTTTTTCAGAAGATGTTGCAGGTTGACAAGGCAACCATGGTCAAACAGACAAGAACCAAGTTTTGAGTTCTCAACCCTGTTCATCCTTCACTTTTGGACTCATCTATGGGTCAAATTCTATGAAAGATAGCAAACCAATTACTGCATCAGTGAGAAAGAAACACCATCAAAATCACCAATGTAATTTATGACTTACCACACGATGGAGAGATGGTCTGTTGAGACCCAGGTCTTAGGCACTGCCGAGCTCTAAAAGGAAAAGCATTAAACCCAAGAACATTTACAATTTCCTGTTGCTGGATTTTTCAGACTAATACTTAGAGATGTATGATGTTAACTTTACTATATTGTTTAATTCTTTGATTAAAATGATTAATTTTTACAAAAGATGATCCAAGTATATTATTTCCTACATAATGTAACTAATGTCATTTCTGGTTCTAAAGCTTCTATTACTTTTTAAAAATGAGCATAAACACAGATCCTATGCTAGAGTTTAACAGCTAACACTTTAAAAAACACAATTTAAAAGGTGACCTTAACATTCCTTTAATAAGAAATCCTATTAAAGAATCGTATTAAATACCAGAGCTTTCTTACATAAGGATTTTTCTTTCTTTTACTTTTACAAAAATGCAAAAGGGACTGGGAGGGGCGGCATTTGGGATATAAATACATAAATAATTTTTTAAAAAAGTTCCAATAGATATTTTAGGATTTTAGTTTTGAGTAAACTAGTACTTGGTGCATTCTAAGATGTTATTTTGTAACCGGGAGTGTGCTTAAGAAATATTTATTAGCATATATTAACCACACAAAGTAAGGAGATTGATTATGACATTTCCACACATTAACATAATATATACTGATCATTTCCACGCTCTATAATTCTTATTCCTCCCCATCTCTTTTATTTATAAATTTATGGGTCCTTTATATATTGGGGAACTGTTGCTAATAAATTACTAAAAATCCTGACAATCAAAGTTTTCTGTGGTTGTAAGATTTTATTAGCTACTGAGCAGAGTAACAGCTCAGGTACTAGCAGGCAGCATTTACCATTATCAAGGATATAAAAGTGCTTTATTTTCTTTGACTTAATAAAGGCGACACTACCCCTCCCTTCCTCTACAGCTCAAAGAACACTGCGAAGGAAGGACAGAAAGAACTGGGAACCCACTACAAGGGGAGCAGCTGTGAAAAGCCACCTTGTAAGGATAAGCCACTACAAGCACAAGCCCACATTAGCCATGGATACTGACATGGGGCCATACAAGAACAGCTCTGTCAACAGTCATCTATGGATGGAAGAGTCACTCGTGAGGCTCTCCTGTTGAATTATTGGCTATTGACAGATGCTGAGCAATTGTGTACCTACAGATAAGAGATCATCAGGCTCTAAAGGATAGATCTAAAATCATGGTCAGATAGCCCTTGTTAAACTCAGTGGGTCACACACCAAAACAGATGTGACTACACAATAGATTTGTGGGGAAGGAGGTGGTTAGCTGGGTGGGAGGGAGGTAAGAGGAGTTGGGGAATAATCAGAATATATTACATTTTTATGACACTGTCAGAGAACAAATGTAATTAATAAAAATGAATACATTTTATAAGATTGGTTGTTCATAGAACCATTAACTGTCTACTAAATGTCATTCATTCTTTACAACAAATCGCATGGCTAACTCCCTCGGCCTCTCTTGCTTTAGGAAGTAGCCGGATGTTCTCTACTGGTGTATGAGCAGAAATAATGGGTACCTTTTCAACATTGTGCTTTAATCAATTCTGGTTTTTCATCAGCTGAACTGGTGATCACTAACATGATCTTGAAAGTAAAGTATTCCAGATGGGAGTCTGGCATCAGCCCAGGCCCTGAATCAAAAATCACTCACTGACTTACTGACCTACACAGTAAAACTCCATTTATATTTAAGATGGGAATATACTATAGCAATTTAACTTATGCTACAAACACAATTATGGTCTTAAACTCATCAATTTTCTAGACCCAATGAACATAAGTCTAACTTAACTGCTGAGGTAAACATAAAAACTGATACTTCTTAATTGACTTTAATAGCATACATAAAAATGTGAAAAATTATAAACTACTTGAGAGTTAAGAGAAGAGTCAAGTTCTACTACAAACAGTTGTGGAAAAATTCTGTAAGTAAAATATTTTCACCAGAGATACAGAAATATTGACAGCAACACATTACCAAATGGACTAGAGAAGACAAGGAAACACACAATGCATGTACGTGTGTGTGTGTGTATAATACTATGTAAAATCTTTACATATAATACTATGTAAAATAGTACATATAATAGTACATACAATACTATGTAAAATCTTTAAAATAATTACCACAACAGATAAGGCACTGGTATGATGGCTTAATTTTGGTAGAAAAGTCAGTCCTGAACGAACTTGGTAATCCCGGAATCCTCCAGCCACAGAAAGTGTAGTCAAATTTATGTGCCGAGCATTTAAAATCCAATAGTTGTTTACAGTCATATAAAACTCTGGAAGGAAATTAAAAAAAAAAACTCTGAAAAACAAGCCATTTCACGCAACGATACTTATTATATTAATATTTACCGGTATTTTTGCTTAAGCTATTTGGTCTATAAATAATGCTATTCATAGTTCCCTATTTTGAGAAACTTACATATATTCCCATGTTTGCAATCAGAGTACAAATACTGAGACTTCTAAAGGTGTCAGTAGAAAAAACAGCCAAACTGTACCTTTCATTAAGTTCACATGCAAACAAATCTCTTTACCGAATATGCTCCACAAATCATGACGAAGAAACCCTCATGCTCTTCCAAAGACCACAAAAATTTTGCTAAGGAGCTGTAGACATTAGTGTGTTAATTTCATGATATATTCTGTGTTCAATCCCATGATATTGTATATATTAAATATGTGCATTTTTGTATATAAAGTACCCTCGATAAAGTGGTCTTCAAAAAAAAAAAAAAGAGACATACACTTCCCCATCACAAAAGTGTTCCAGTTTTTGAAGGCTTAGCAACCCTGCTTTGGATAACCATTACCACATGTTATTATTTAAGTTTCTACAACCACCAGGACTGTGCCATAATCATTTCAGGATTACACCTCTGAAGAAAATCTCATGCTTAGGATTTTACCCATTAAATTTAGCAGTAAATTTAAAGTGATTAGTGTCCAGGCAATCTTTCACTTCAGGTATGAAAAGTAAGAAAAAAATATATATATATATTTATATATATATATATATATATATATATATATATATATATATATAAATACACATTATACATTATATATAATATACATGTATATTATATATAAATTTATGTATATAAAGATATAAAAAATATATATATTAAATTATATATATAAAAGTATATATAAAGGCTTAAAACCCATAACTACTTAAATATTTTTTCCACTGTAATTCTGACTTAATGAAATAAGAAATCAGAAAGTAGGAAGAAAACAGGTTTCCTATAACTCAAGAAAAGCACCCTAGGTTTAAGAATGCAGTTTTAGAGGTGAATCACTTCTGTTCTTTAGAACAATTAAAACCTGACAGTATTGAAAATACATTCTTCAGGGATGAGGACGCAGTTGAAGGGTATAATATCTGTGTAGCAAATGTAAGAGTCTAGTTGACAGTGAGCTGCCATTGCTGAAGAGGCCACATGACTGAGTTATAGAAGATGGTGAAATCAGCAGGTACAGACCTGGAAGCTTCATCCCTAGCAGCTATCTCTAATTAGTGCTAAGAGATGCTGTGCACCCTACTAAAGGAGAGAAGTAATTATCCATCATACCCAGCTGTGAACCCTGAAAGTTACATCAGTGACTGCCCTGGAAAGACACGCCCACCTGCTGCAATAGTGGCAGGAACATCATGAGAGTAACCAATAACTTTCTGATCAAAATTAAGTCCTGCTCCACAAGAAGAACACATAACTTGCATCATTAAGGGGCAAGAAACCTATGGCTAGATACATCATAGACCCTAGGGGAGAACCTTGAAAGGAAGGGTGATATAGTAATATAAAGTAGACAAATAGGAGTAGATTATCAAATCTACTCTTAAACATGTGTGTGTGTGTGCATGCATATATATATATATATATATATATCCATACTCCATACACTGGCACAGAAGTTTATATTTTGATACAAAAATATGGTTATATTTTGTTACACTGGCACAGAATTTTATATATTGATATAGGTTAAAGGCTTTCACTGGAATTAATCTTTGTATTTGATACAAAAGTGAAGTTTAATCTTGTTATAACATAACATATGTATGTTTCGATTCTTACACAGGTACTGTGCATATACAACTCACTTAAAACTACAAGGTTTAGCCCCAGTCTTTTAATAGCTGCTATTACAAACTTTTTGTGATAAGTAAGTAATGCAAGTTTAACAGTCAGTCAATCAAACTCATGGTCATGTTAAATTGTAGTCTGGATAATCACAGAAATACAAGCCCTGGGTTGTACAGATAGCAAGTAGCTGGAAACAGGCAATATTTGCTGGTTCAGATATGCTATGAAAAGATAGTCTTCAAAAACCTCAGAGACTCAGAGACTACAGATTTAAAGATGTTTTTATTAATTTAAGGCCTTTTAGACGTTGAGACATGTCGGCTCTTGGCAGCACCCAATTCGACTTGGAAGAAGATGATGAGCACCAAAAAGCCTCCACATGGAGTTGCTTCAATTGTGGCAAGCTAGCCACAGTGCAAAGAGAGTGCGTGCCCTAACTTCATCTGCAGATAGCATGCTGTCCAGAGGACCAACAGGTGCAGGGAAGTCAATTGCCAAACTCTGCCAAGACAAGGCAAGCAATTCCTGCTTCATAATTCCTGCTTCACAAAAGGTCTCTCAGACAGTCTGGGCCAGAAGGCTTAAAGACAGATGCTCCAACGTTATAGAAAATATTGGAGACTATCTATGCGGTCAGCCGCCTCTGTCATTTCTTTATTTTTGGAAGCTGCATTGTCTGATCTCTGCATAGTCAGGTAATATTTATTCTTTCTCAGGTCTCTGATGGGTTTAAAGATTAGAAAGTCATAGTCTTACTGTCTAACTAAGTTGTTTAGGATTTAAGAAGACGTTCTAGGTCTATAAAGGTATTTACTACAAGTCAAGTTAGGAACTGATTTACATACAGAACTCTGAAGTCACCAGGATACGATAGATAATAGAATACTTTCTCCAAAATTGCCAAATCCAGACTAGAAGAACTTTTCAATGTAACTCTTACCTAATAATTTTTATAATAACTTCACTATTGTTCCTACTGTATATTGTTTATTATTTTTTTAAGATTTATTTATTTTATGTATGTAAGTATATTGTCACTCTCTTCAAACATACCAGAAGAGGGCATCTGATCCAATTACAGATAGCTGTGAGCCACCATATGGTTGCTGGGAATTGAACTCAGGACCTCTGGAAGAGCAGTCAGTGCTCTAAATCTCTCCAGCCCCTGTTGTTTATTATTATGAGAAAGAATCTTTTTATTTAGACAAAAAAGGAGAATTGTTGAGGTTTGGTCTGTTGCTATGTATTGTAATGCTAAATTCTGTACTAGAAGATCTAGGCCGTACAGTGAATTCTTGAATTCTCACCTTTACAAGCTTTTGTTGTGCAGCCCATTCCTTGATTTAAAACTGTTATTTAAATAAAATTGGCTATAAGCAATTACTGGAGGGATTAGAGGCAGGTGGGTTTGAATTACCTGGTTGGGAATGGAGAAGAGAGAAGAGAAGAAGGAGGAAAAAAAAGAGGAGAGGAGGAAGCCACCATGAGGGCAGATTGACCATGAGAACCTGGCCAGGAGAAACAAAGTATCTAGGGTACACTGCTGGGGAGGTAGCTAGGCCAGCAGTTAGAAGAGTAGATAAGGGGTTATCCTCCAGTAATTGTCAAAGCCAGAAAGAAAAAAAAAACAAAACCAAGAAACAACAACAACAACAACAACAAAACCTCTAATGGAAATAGCTACAAAGACTTGCTTGCTTCACCCTGACCAGAGAAGGTCGGTTTGAATGTCAGAGCACTTACCTGTAATGAAACGATCTAACGGCATCACAGGGGCCACATGAGGAGTAGCTTGTGTAACAAGAAGATTTATCAGATCTTGTTTAAAATTTTTCAGTGTAAGCAACGCTCTGGCTACAAGGCCACCCATAGAGTGACCAATTATTGCTACACTTGTAGGAGCAAATTCTTGACCCTGTTTTTAAACAAAGACGAATAAAATAAAATCACCATGATAGAATCCTTAACATCCTAAGAAAAATACTTAGTACTTTTGTTTGTATATGGGCAATAGCAAAGATAAGCCAAAGAGGCACCCCTCAAAAGACAGAAAGATCCATCTTCACACAGTTCTAAACAGTATGCTAAGACTCTTTTGTGCTGTGTCACTTTTAGCAGGTTTTGGTTGTAGTTTTCCAAACTAAAATTGGAATTGAGTTAGTGAATCATGTTTGTATTAATTTGTTAGCTTGTTTACAATCTGAGGTCTGAGTATATTAAATATATATTAGAATATTAAAAACTCAAGCAACAGCACATGTTGGCGAGGATGTGGAGACAGGGGAACACTCCTCCACTGCTGGTGGGAATGCAAATTTGTAAAACCACTCTGGAAATCAATCTGGCAGTTTCTCAGAAAACTGGAAACACCTGAAGACCCAGCTATATAACTTGTGGCATATACCCAAAAGATATTCTACCAAACCCCAAGAACACGTGCTATACTATGTTCATAGCAGCTTTATCTGTAATAGCCAGAAACTGGAAAAACCCAGATGTCACTCAACTGAAGAATGGACACAGAAAATGTGGTCTGTTCACACAGAGGAATACTATGCAGCTATTAAAAACAAGGACATCATGAGTTTGGCAGGCAAATGGATGAAACTTGAGACTATCATCCTGAGTGAGGTAACCTAGACCCAAAAGACATGCATGGTATTTACTCACTGATAAGTGGATATTAGCCATAAAGCACAGAATACTCATGACACACCCCACACACCCAAAGAAATTAAACAAGAAGGAAGGCCCAAGCGAGAATGTTGAATCACACTTAGAAGGGGGAACAAAATAGTCATAGGAGGCAGATTGAGGAAGGGACCTGCATGGGAGAAGGGAAGTGGAGGGACATAGGAAGGCAGGATCAGGTGTGGGAAGAGAGAAGAGAGAGAGCCAGAAGGCCAGGAGAATGAATGGAATCTGTAGCAGCAAGAGGTGGCAGTTGGGGGGATGTGGAGAATCTTTAAGAAGTCCCAGAGGCCTGAGATTGACTCCCAGGAGTCAATGTGGGTGACCTTAACCAAGATGCCTACCAGTGGAGACATGGAACCTGGAGAGGACACCTCCTGTAGCCAGGCAGGACCCCCAGTAGAGGAGTAAGGACATCAAGGCACCCACAAAACTTTCATTCCAAAATATGTCCTGTCTAAAAGGAATGCAGAGACAAAGATGGAGCAGAGACTGAAGGAATGACCAACCAATAACCAGCCCAACTTGAAACACATCCCATGGGCAAGCACCAATCCCTGACATTATTAAAGATACTGTTATGCTTGCAGACAGGCGTCTAACATAACTCTCCTCTGAGAGGCTCTATCCAGCAGGTAACTCAAACAGATACAGATACCCACAGCCAAACATTGGATGGAGGCTGGGGGCTCTTATGGAAGACTTAGGGGAAGAACTGAAGGCCCCACAGAAGGACCAACAGAATCAACTAACCTAGACCTCTGGGAGCTCTCAGAGAATGAGTCACCAACCAAAGGACACACACAGGCTGGAATAAGACCCTGGACACATATGCAGAAGATGGGCAGCTCCATCTCCACATGGGTCCCCCAACAATTGGAGCAGAAGCTTTCCCTAAAGCTGTAGCCTGACTGTGATATCTGTTTCCCAACAGGACTGCCTTGCCTGGCCTCAGGAGAAGATGCACCTAATCTGGCAAAGACTTGATGTACCAGGGTAGGGGGACACCCAGTGGGATCCCACCCTCTCAGAGGAGAAGTGGAGGAGAGACAGAAGAAGGGTCTCAGTTGGTGGTGGGGGGACCTGGAAGGGAGGCAGTGCTTGAGATGTAAATAAATAAGAATATTAAATTGTATAGTGTATAAGAAATCAGAATATTTGGCACTGAAAATAGTTTTAAAGAATGAGACAATTATAGCTGCTGTTGCAATGTACTTTCGTATGGTGTCTCTTACTTCAAATTATTTCTCTACAGTGCATTTTAGCTTAAAAAAATAAAATAGTATCTTAAACATTTATTCACTGGTTATGCAATTCTTTAAAGAAGTACTGCTTAAAAATAATCTTTGTTGGGGCTGGAGAGATGACTCAGAAGTTAAGCTCACCTGACTCTTCTAGAGGATTGGGGTTTAACTGCCACCACCTGCATGGCAGATGAAGACAACAGTGTGACTCTAGTCCCAGGAGATCCAATGCCCTCTTCTGGTCTCCAAAGGTACCAGGCACCCCCATAGTGCACAGACATCCAAGCAGACAAAATATCCACATCCATGAAATTAATTACTTTTTTAAAACAATAATAAGCTTTGTTTAACAGGGGTGGTGTTACAAACCTTTAATCCCAGCACTGGGGAGGCAGCGAAGCTAGGTATCTGTTCAAGACTAGCCAGTGATCTATGGACTGAGTTCTAGGCCAGCCAGAACTAATAGTGAGATCATCTCAAAAACACACAAACAAGAGTTTGCATTCACTGTTCTCCTTAGTGTTTCCACTAAACCTGGGCCTGTTTCCCCAGCATTGATTCTTCACATGTACCTTTCCCCAGTCACTGTGCAAGAAAAAGCTGACACACGAGGCTAAGTCTGCTACTCTCAGAACGAACTAAAAGCAAGGTTGCTGCAGAGTATAGTCTGGGTCCTTATATGTTGCAAGGCTTCTTGCCACCTGTAGATCAGTGGTTCTCAGCCTGTGGGTTATGATCCCTTTGGGGGCTGAACAACCTTTTCACAGGGGTTACATATGAGATATCCTGCATATCAGATATTTACATTATGATTCATAATAGCAGCAAAATTATGAAAGTAATCTTATGGCTGGGGGTCACCAAAGCATGAGTAACTGTATTAAATTGTATTAAAGGGTCACAGCATTATGAAGGTTGAGAACCACTGCTTTGGATAGTTCATAGTGCCCACAATGGAAATCGTATGGTTTATGATGAGTATCTGTTGTCCTCCAGGCTAGAATTCTTGTACATGTTATGCAAAAAGTGTCAGAATTGGCCTCTAATGAAAACTAGGGACACCAAGACTCTAAAGGCATTGTTTCTCACATCGCAGACTGCTGATAGAGCAAAATGAAGTAAGAATGTCGGCCCAACCCGTGAGACTGTTGGAAGCTCGCACCTGCTCTTTTCAGACTTTGTCCTGTGTGCTTTTCCTTCTCCCCAGTTTGCTTTGTGTCCTTTCACTATGTGACGGTCGTGTGTTATAAACCGAATCCTATGAATCCCACTAGCAAGCTGACCACCCTGGGGATGGTCTCCCAGAGAAAGCTCATTGTGGTAAGGGCCAACCTCTACAGCCCTACTTCTTGTTCTTAGCCATGGGTGCTCCCTTTCCCTCCTAGTCTCTGGTGCTGCTCTCCTGCATTTCCTTCAGTTCTTAAATGAATGGCCTGGGCCTCAGGTCTTTGACTTTTCTCTTTATACACACACACACACACTTACTGATCTTGGCCACACTGATAAACTCATCTATTCCCCTGGCTTTAAATACATGTATTTAGTGTTAATTCCCAACTAATCTCAACTGGATATCCTGTCTGTCTGTCTATCTATCTGTCTGTCTGTCTGTCTGTCTGTCTGTCTGCCTATCCATCCATCTATTCAGCTCTAGACTCAATTGGACAACTCTTGCACAATTGCTATACTGGGAATACCTTACGCATCTTAAGGTCAACCTGTTTAAATTAAATTGTGCTGCCCCAAAATATCTTCTACCTAGTCTTATCAAATGTAATTCAATGTCTTCAGTCGCCCAGACAGAATATCTGGAGTCGTTCTTGTTTTTCTTTCATACAGAATTTCAACCTGGGGTTGGGGATTTAGCTCAGTGGTAGAGCGCTTGCCTAGCAAGCGCAAGGCCCTGGGTTCGGTCCTCAGCTCTGAAAAAAAAAAAAAAAAGACAAAATAACAGAATTTCAACCTGCAATCTTCCAGCAAAGCTTGCTGCCTCAGCCTCTAATCCTAAGACCAATGTGTTCATTTCTCACCACTTCAGTTTCTATCAACTTAATTTAAATACTATTAGCTCTTGCCAAAGAGACTTCAATAGACTCCTACCTAGTTTCCCTGCCCCTATTCTATGGCCCTTCAGTTTATCCTCCTATATAACCAGAATGATACTATTGAAGTTTAAATACGAGTGACACTTCTCTCCAAAAACCTGCCCAACGGTTTCCCACACCACCCTAGATAAAAGGGGAAGACCACTAAAACTGTCTCTACATTGGTACAATCTAATTGACCCACCCAGGCTGGCCTTTTGGTTTTGTGTAATTCTGTATTTATTTGGAATTGTATGATGAATAAGGTTTTCTCTGCCCAGAATGTTCTTTTCCATACCTGTATCTTATACACTCAACAAGATTCAATTGTCCTCCAACTCCTACTGTAATTGCTTATAATAGAAATCTTTGTTAGTATCTCATCTCAAAAATACTTATTACTTGCATTATAAATTTAATGTGTTCATTAGAAAAATCCAAAGCAAAAATAGAAAAAAAAACCTGCCTACTATATAAGAGTGAACTTTGTTTACTGTGGATGACATGTATTTATCTTATTTGACAAATAACCTTACCAGTTATTACCTGTACCTAAAGAGGATAATTTTTCCCCTTAACACTCTGATTACGTAGGAAGAGATCATTAAATTCTATTCCTCCTACATTGAATTTATGTTCCTTTTTCTATACATTAAGTCATGAACTGGTGCTAGTGTGGCCAGATGGCTTTCAGCTGCAGAGATGATCCTATGCTGGACTATATACTGACTCCAATATTTAGATATTGAACCAGATAGGGTTTTTGCAGTAATTTCTATTTGGTCATGATATACTATACCTTTTTACTGCTGAGTGTGGTAGTCTGGTATTTGGTTGAAATTTTTATATTTATGATCCTGAGGAATATTAATCCTTTAGTTTCTTTTTACTGACTGCTGCACTGTCTACTTTTTCCTAAAATGGAATTCTATCTCCCTTATTCTTTAAAAGTCCCTTTCTAGTTTTGCTGTCAGAGCTACACTGAACTGAAAACTGAGTCTTTTTCTTCCTCTGTTCTTTTGAAAATTGTTTTTGTTGCTGCTGTTATTTTAAGAACAGTATTTGTTTTTAAATGTGAACTAGAATTTCACATGATTGAAAGTCACTGAGCTCTAAGGTTTTGCTTGGTGGTAAGGTTTTAAATTACAAATTCAAAAGAAATTCTGACAGATACTGGAGTACTCAGATTTTATCTGTCAGTTTTCTAACTAATACTTCAAAAACTTTATATGATTGAGTTATTAAGTTTACAGGTATGAAAGTGTGCATAATATTCCTGTATCACCCTCTCCAAATGTAGAAATATATCCTCATTAGTTTCTAACATTGTTACTTTGTTCTCTCATTTTTAATATCAGTCTAGCCATAATTTACAAGTTGTTGACCTTTTTTAATGAATCAACTGTTGGCAGAAGTTAGTTTTTCTGTTGTTTTATATTTCTTTAATTTCTACTTTTGTCTTGTTTTCTTATTTTACTTAACTTTATTAACTTTCTTTTCTCCCCAGCTTATAAAGGCTGCAAACTTAAGTCATTGATTTGAAAGCTTACTCTTTTCTAAGTATTCAAAACAGTATTGCTTTTAACCAAATTATCGCTCCTCTAAATTTCATTTTATTAGTTGAAAACTTTGTACCTGTATAAGATATATGCATTTTCATTTTAATTCAGCTCACAGTATCTTCAAATTTCATTTTTAAAAACTTTGGGTAATCTAGAAATAACAGTTTAAAAAAAATCTTTTTTTTTTTTACTTTTAACTTTGCTATTTTCAGGAAATACATTACATGGTTTTAGTATTTTAAAGATTATTAATATCCACAACCCAGCACATGGCCTAGCATAGAACACAACTTAGTAAATGTTCATTGTGTATTGTAAAAGAGTATTTCTATAGCTGAGTAGAGTTTTTTGTTTTGTTTTTTTTTCTTTTTTTGTTTTGATTTTTTGAGACAGGGTTTCTCTGTGTAGCCCTGGCTGTCCTGGAACTCACTCTGTAGACCAGGCTAGCCTCGAACTCAGAAATCCACCTGCCTTTGCCTCCCAAGTGCTGGGATTAAAGGCATGCGCCGCCACCACCCAGCGAGTAGAGTGTTTTAAAGTTATCAATAAACATTATATAGCAGAATCTGGGAAGTAAGTGCTCAAATCCATAGTTTGCTGATTTTCTTATCAGTGATTAGAACAGGGCTGAAATCACTAGTGCTATTTGTGTTAATTACGCTAATTCCTTTTCTTGGTTCTACTGGATTTTGCTTTGTAAATTTGGAAGGATCAGATGCATACTAATAATTTGAGAGGTTTTCTTTGGTTTCTGGTTTTTTATAAACTTGTTGGGCTGTGTGTCTGCCTTGCTGCTGGGGTGCTGAAGCACCCTGGCAAGCCACTCAGGAGAGACAGAACACAGTCTGTGATTAGGGGTCGAAGCCCACGGTCTTCTAGGCAAGAAACAGTGAGATCTGGGACTGATGATGTGGTTCTCAATCTCCTGTATACCCAGATGCCACTGGGGACAACCAGGAGTTGAGAATGGGAGTCATGGGTCCATGCTTCCCCTATGTGCTGGGCAGGAAGGGGATAACTGAGCTTCAAGACTGAATCCTGGTCAGTTCTGACTGAGTGCTGATTACAGAGGCGCTGGAGGAGAGAAGGCCTTCTCCGGAAGACTGAGGCACAGCTCTTTACTACAAAGGCCTCCTCCCACCCCCACAGCAATCCTTGATGAAGGAGACAATCCTTGTTTGTCTGGACTGCTTTATTTTATGGCAGATGTCAATGCATACATCTTACTCAGGGTGAGCCAGGGATTAAACACCTTCTATGGGAAGGAATGCCTAGGAAGGGAAGCTCACTGGCTAAACACTTAGGTCCTATCTAGATACCTCATTATCATGGAGAATGCCAGGTTTTTATGCTATGTGACCAGCTGTCACAGTCCTCTCAGTGGGGTGCCATGGTTACTCGGTCCAGGACAGGCAGAGCTTGACAGGGAGCTAGTTCCACACCTACCATTCTCAATTCTGAAGGTTCCCTGGGGTTTTGAACCTGCTTCAACCTCACCAGTTCTTCTGCCTGGTTGCATGGCCCACTTGTCCCACATAAATTGACCCTTTTATCATTAGGGGAATTCCTTTGGGGGGGGGCAGGAGCAGAGGATGAAATCCAAAGTCTTCAAAATGTCCACCTTTTCCCACAAAGAAATGTCTTTTCCTATAATCTACTGAACAGATAGTAATTTAGTCATTCTAGTTTTTGATTTGTTTGGCATGTGTGCACATGTATTAGGGGGCAAGTTGGGGAGAGGGTGATCATGCTGGACAGCACGTGCCTTTCCCCGCTGAGTCCTCTCCCTGGCCCTCTACCTTGTCTTTTGAGACAGAATCTCTCAATGAACCAGGAAGTTTCAGTTCAACCTAGATCTTTAAACTAGCTTTGAATTGAAGATATTACATTATTTTTTTAAAAGTTCTGCCATTTTTGTGTTTTTGTTTCAACTCCAAGATAAACAAATGTATTATTTACAATCAAATGTGTCCCTAAAAAAACAAAGCCACTGACACTACTGCTTTGCATATTTCTTGCCTACCTTGTAGAGTTTGAGAATGGCTTTAATGCATTCGTGCACAAACTTGGTCTGCTTCTGAAGGCTTCCCCCATACAATGCCACCAGTTCTTCATTGAAGTTGACACTGAAGAAATCGAAGTGGTATTTGAAGTCGATGTCTTCTGCTTTCCTAAGTGCAATCGAGCCGATAGAGCGAACTGCAGAGTAAAAGAGAAGAGGGCTCACTATACAAAACCTCCTGGAAAAGCAGCCAACTTTGTCTTGAAGCTTTTAATAAATAAACCCATCGTGAATATAAACAACTTATTTCAGAGTGATGCACACCAGTGGTACCAAATGAGGACCTGAGACTATAGCTCAGTTGGTGAAGTGTTTGCTGTTCAAATATGAAGACCCTGGGCTAGGAGTCCAGAACCCATGTGAAAACCCAGGCATCTACAACGAGCACCAAGGAGGCAAAGACAGAAGGACCCTGGAGGCTTGCTGGACAGATTTCAAGGTAAATCTGAGAGCTGTAGGTTCAGTGAGATCATTAAAATAAAATAAATAAAATAAAATAAAAGACAGATAAAGGAAAGAAGAAAGGAAAAGGTGGAGAATGATCCCTAACCCTCCAACTTACTCGTTCTACACACACACACCCTAATTAAAAGAACAGGTATAATTCACATATTATACAAGTCACCCTGTGCAAAATTTGTAATTCCGTGGATTTTAGTGCATTCGTTGCCTCTAGTGAGTATTGTATAACCTCGATACTGTATAACTGAGTATTTCAACCACATGAGTAGACACTGTTAAATCCTCCCAGTCCTGTTGCTTCTGCTCCTATTCCTAGTCCTGATATGCACCAGCTTATTCTGTTTCCATGAATTTGCCTATTCTGAGCATTTCAGATAAATGATATCATCCCATAATGTGACTTTGTGTGACTGCTTTCTTTCACTTTTTATGATGTTTGCAAGGTCGATCCATGTTGTAGCATTTGCACCACTAATTCATCTCTTTGCATCCCATCAGCAATGTGTGAGGATTCCAGTTTTCCATGTCTTTGCTAGCACTTGCTACTATCTGTCATTTTTATTTTAGCCATTTATTTATCATTGTAGGGCGCGGTACTGTATTTTGATTTGCCTTTCTCTGATGACACATGATGTTTAAGCATCTTTCCTGCTTCCACTCTTGCCTTGTAATAGCATATTCTCTTCAAAGCAGAGCCATACTAGTCCTTTTCAAAAAGTAAACTGTGTTTATTAGATTCGTGAAAATTTAAATTTCACAATTTCAGTGTTGTCAAACAGGTAGTATAAAGGAAAGCATCATATATTAATTATAAGAATATAATCAGTGTACTCAGTAAAGGTGAGAGGATATGTAAAACCTGTGATGGGGAATTAGTACGACTAGGATAAATCTACACGTACAGAAACTTATGTGCTCTACGATGTAAGCAGAAGGACAGTGTTTGCAATTGCCAATATAAAAATAATGGAAAATTATACAAATTATCTTCTATAAAAATTTTACAAAAGAACAATATAGTGTTAAACAAATGGACAGTTTATTGTTCGTACAGTAACTTTGAGGACTTTTACAGACAAAATAAACTAGAAGAAACCAAGCACAAAGAATACATAGTTGATGGTTATACATTATAAAGATTAAAAACATTCCCAAAGCAATAAAGTATACCAGGGAAGAACACTTAGGTATTAAGACTACAAAGAAAGTTATAAAAATTATCACCTTAAAGTTAGAATTGTAGAAGTAGGTGTGTGTGTGTGTGTGTGTGTGTGTGTGTGTGTAAGGGAAGAAAGCTTTAATCATGAAGGAACTCAGGGGGGTTCCAGGATGCTGGCAATCTTCTACTTCTTCACTGAAGTTCTAGTTCTCTGTAGTTCACTTTGTAACAACGGTAAGTATGTATGTATCATTTCAAGCATGATAGTTAACAAAAAAATCAGACTACCCAAAGCATCATGTTTCACATGCCTCTCAAGTAAATATTCAGCAGCCTTTCCAAGTGTGTATGTGTGTGTGTGCATGTGTGTGTGTGCATGTGTGTGTGTGTGTGTGTGTAAATACACGGACACACATATCTCCATTCTAACTTCATTTTTCTCTAGTCATGGTCGTCCTGAGTGCAAACACATTTTTGTATCAAGGACTTCCCTAAATTATGTTCAAGCTCTCCTGGCCATGGCCTTTCCTAATCACCTCATCTAAACAAGCCACATTCCTACTACTTACCTTCTGCCTCCCTCGGTACTTTACTTATTTATTTCTTATAGCTTTTAGTATTACTGGAACATCTACTGATGGCTGTCTCCCAATAAGAACATGTGTTTGATGAGTACCGTCCTCTTCTATCTGGATATTTAATACCTAGTATACTCCCTGGCTTATGGTAGATACTCCACAAATATTTTGTAGATGAACAATAAGTACATATGATTACCATACATGTTAAAACAAGTCTGGATTCATTATATAACAATTCCTCCAATGTTTATAAGAACTGAAGCAGATTTTTTTGTAAACAAAATTACTTACAGATTGGGATATCTGGCTGCTATGCCAGAAACTCTGACATTCTCTCCACCATTCTGTAATCCCTCCATACTGCTGCATGTCTCTACCCAAGGAGAGTTACTCTTTTCTTCTCTTGTTCAACATAATTTAAGATTTTATCTCCCCACTGAATGCTTCAGACTCCATTCTCAGTAACTTCATTTCCAACATAAACCTTTCTCCTATTTCTGAATACCTGTATAATCTATTCATCCTACCCTACACCATCTGATTTCTGAATACCTATATAATCTATTACCCTACCCTATGCCATCTGATTGTTCTCCCTCTTTGCAAAGTAGTGTTCAACTCTTCTTTTTTCCTTCTATTTTAGTGTTTGCTTTCTCTTGAAGGAAGTGGCATGTACATGGGTCTCTCTCCCAGTAGGTTCAACACAGTACTTGACAGAGTAAGCTTTTCATTTACACCACTTGATTCTGGCAGTATGTACATGATTCAAAGTCTGGAGCTGAATTTTACAGCTTTAACTTTTTCTTTCACTACCTACCTTGCTTATAGCTTCCAGCATTACCAGGAAGAAAGAGAACAGGAATTCCTGTCAAAGGGAGAATTTTGTGTTCTTCAGCGTACGATCCTTCTCCATAAAGATATAACTCATATGCTGGGTAACGCTTTGTCAGTTTCTTTGGAAGTTCTATTTTCTAGAAAATAAATAAATAAATAAATAAATAAATAAATAAATAAGTCTGTTTTAATCACTTTTATTATTAATACAACTCAGATTCAATGCAAACATAAATTAAAGAACTTTAAAATGGTATAGTAGACAAATATTATGAATGCCATAAACCATATACAACACACAAAATGAGTTTTCCTTATTATTATTCATATAGGGGATTATTCTTAGATTATATGGATCATAACCTTCATAAAAGCATAAAACACATATGGTTGAAATTCTCACCAGTCACCCAAAATAATCCCTGACCATGGATATATGTCACTGGTATATGTCAGAAAGTTTCACATAAACTTAACTGGAAATGCAATTTAATTTCACTTAGAACCAGTTATCAATTATAATTTAAAGTGAGGATAAGACCTTTCCATGATCAAATCAATTCTTTTTGCCACTTAAACTACTTTATAAGTATCTCCTTTAAATTGGGTCCACCTAAATACTCTAGCTGCTACAACTTTAAACGAAGCATGTTACTGTTGGGGGTGTGTGTGTACATGCATGTTCAATCATTTTGTGTGCGTGTGTGTATGATGTGTTCACATGTGTGCACAGGCATACTCAGATGCATGTATGCGCAGATGTGGAAGCCATACGTCCACACAGGTGATCCTCCTCAATTATTCTCCAACTTGTTTATTTTGAAACAAGATCTCTTCCTAAACCTAGAAATCAGATTCAGCTAGATTGCCTGGCCTGCCTCTGCCTCCCCAGCACTGGGACTTCGGGCACAGACTACCATGCCCAGCTTTTTACAGGTGTGCTGGGGATCAACTCAGGGACTGCCTAGTGATTGTGTGGCAAGCTCTTCATCTACAAAGCCATGCCATAGACCCAGGAAGTTTGTTGGACAATGTTTTAACTATGATGGTTTAACAAAATAATCTGAACCTTACAACCAAGATATGCACATTCTTCTTACCATAAATATTACACTGAATAACATTAGCTTCAATTCATAGGCCAGCCATATATTGTACAACATATGCAAGGTCTTAATGTCATCACCAAAGGGTAGGCATTTATTAAAGATGTAGCAAAGTGTAGACTTTTCCATCCCTCTTTGGGCGGGGTCTCACTATGTAGGCTCTGCTGGCTGGCACTTACTTCATCTTCCTACCACTGTCTCCCAAGTGTGGGGAATTCCGGATACTTCACCATACCTGAAGTTTCCATTATTTTTTTTAAAATGGAAATCATTAAAAACAAACCACTGTACTAAATCAAAAACTGAAATATATCAATATATCAATAAATCTAGAAATGTAAAACATGTATATACTTGATGAAAAAATTTTACTGTATGAATTTCAAAAGCTGTGTTATTAATATTGCTGGAAAAACTTACCGCTCAAAAGAGAATTCTAATCATTTGTGCAGATTCTAGAATATTCCTTTGAGAATATTACCATAATCCAGGCCAACTATATTACAGAAGTATCTATAGTACTACGTGCTGCTTATTTAATAGGCTATCACTTTAAATTATTTTCTCCAATATATCAAATACAGAAAAACCAGCTCTACCATTTGCTTTATAAGCACACTAGCACTACAAGTCAAATTAGTCCCAATAATGATTATTCAGTGTGCAAACAAAAGTCAGAATGATGCAATATTTCATTTATTGGGATACAGATCAAGCAAAAAAGAAAATATAACAGAATAAAAAAATAATTCCTTAACTGCTCCCAAATAAGAACATAATTTGATGCAATGGTACACACATAGTTTTTAGTGGACAAGTTTGAGCTAAGTTGAACATTAATACAGAAAACAAGAAATTAACAAAATTAAAAGGCCAGGCAGCGGTGGCACAAGCCTTTAATCCCATTACTTGGGAGGCAGAGGCAGGCAGAGCTCTCTCTGAGTTCAAGGCCAGCCTGGTCTACAGTCAAGCTCCAGGACAGCCAAAGTCACAGAGAAACCTTGTCTTGAAAAATAAAAGCAAGAACAAAACATACATACATACATACATACATACATACATACATACATTTCTCTGAAGACAAACAGTAGGCAAAACAACATATTTGACCTATTTTATAACATGCTATTTTATGGGCAACTTCATTATAAAATATTTATATTATTTAAAAATTAACAATATACACATATTCTAAAAATATACAGGTGGTGGGAAGGTAGGGAAGATGGAGAGTTGAATGATGGGAGGGAAGAAAGGAGAGGAGAGGAGGAAACGGTGAGAAATGCAGGCAAATGGCAAAGGACACCTCCAGGCAGAGCACAAGATCTAGTACGTGTCAGGAAGACAACAGGAGAGGCAACTGGTGGGCACACAGAAGGGACGCTATGCTGAGAGAAAAGAAACATAAAGGAACATAGCTGTAGGGCTCCGACACAAAGTATTTCATATGGACAATTTAAAATAAACAGGTTCTCACCCACAAAAGACCTGTAGTGACAATCAGTGGCCTTTGCATTAAATATTACTTCCATGAGTTGACCCTGCAGTCTGTACTGCCTTGGCTGCACCTCAGAAGAGGCTGTTCTCGTTGCTAACATACACCCCTCCCAAAAGATAAGCATTCCAACCCCTCAACTGCTAGAGAACATTGACTTAAAAAAACAAAGGTCTTATTTTGTGATATGTGTGTATGTGTGTGTATAATATATACTTTTCACTTGTAAATGAAAACTATAAAAGGGTGATGTCCATGGCTTAACCAAAAGGAAACAAAATTATCAAAATAAATGCAGACATTTTAAAGCTCTTAGTAGGAACTCTCAGCCCTTGACTGAGGTTACTCCCAAGAGTAGGCTTAAGGACTCCTGCTCGATTAAAACAGGAAAAAAAACTAAACATAATTTAACCTTTCAGACAGGCCTTTCTTTTTGTCATAAATCCTCTGCTACAATCCAGTTCATGCTGCTACCAAAACATCTAGCTAAACACATCCCTTGTGTATTTCCATAATGTACACAGGAGTAATAAAGACTTTAGAGGGGGGAGCTTTTAAAATTTGATTCCAAAATCTACCTCACTCTTCTAATTTACACATGCCAGTTTTTAAATTTTGTGTTTAATGTATTTAAATTTTTTCAACTTCAAAAGGCCAGGTATTGAAAAGAACGTCTCTATTTTTTTCATGTTTTGCCTGCACAGTACCACAGAGCCAGAAGATGGTGTTTGGTTGGAACTGGACTTACGTGTGGTTGTAAACCACCAGGTGGGTACTGGGAACTGAACCCAGGCTCCAGGCAAGAGCAGCAAGTGCTCTTTACCACTGAGCCATCTCTTCAGCCCCTCAATTTATATCTTTTCAAAAAGCCTTTGAAAACCCAGTACAAACATATATATTCTTTCTTCTCTGAAGAGCCTGTACACAGTCTCTTGCTACATTATAACTGATTTTTATATTCTTGTCTCTCTTCTTGTTAAAATATATACATTAAAGGCATAGGGGCTTTTTATCACTAATTCCTCTCGTGCCAAATATACCTAGTCATTCAATAAATGACTGTCTAAATAAACATTAACATGCTTTCTAATAAAATGTGATTTATATTTGCAGCATCAACATTTCCTCTCCGAGAGCAATCGTTAGGCCACACACATGAACAGAGCCAAATGAGCGGATGAGAGAAAACAACTCAGGTGTTTCTGCTCAAATTCTACAATTTGCCTAAAATTATGTACAGCTGAACAACCATTTGGCCCTATTAGCACCATGGAGCAAGAAACTGTAAATGATGTGACTGACTGAAGATCTAACCATAATATACAGTTAACTACAAATAAGACATCCAGGAAACTACAGGCAAAGGATGAGTAGAGAATTTTAAACTCAAAGTTCATTTCTGCAAAGAATTTCAAATTCCTCTGTTACTTAAAAAGGGGCTGTTTATCATTTTCTGCTGTCTAACTAAGAAAGGCACAAATAAGCAACTTTTTAAAAGGGAAAAGAAAAAGGCCTCAAGAAGGATGAGATGCCATGAGGTCATGCCACCTGCTGGACGCCAAACCTGCAAATGGTTAGAAAGCTTCAGAAATGCTAATCTAAAAGGCAACAGATAAACTATCTTTAGAACAGCTTTGCCCATATGAAAGCCATTTGGCTCTTAACTTGATGAGCTCAACTGTCTTAAAATCTCAGTATTTATTCAAATGGCCTTGTTTCTATAGGAAGGCCTTAATTCTGTTTGCTAAATAACATAATTCATTCAAAGTCTGCTAAAAATGTGTACTAAAAGTTCCACCACTAATTATTACTGTACACATAAATTAGTAAGTGTCAAACTCTGAAACAGCAATTTGTACCAAAATAACTACATACCCACTACTCAACAAAAAAGCCTAATAGCTCTCTTGTCTCAGTGACACTAATTTTCTCTTTCTAGTCAATTTCATGAGGCAGAAGACACATCTGTGAGATCCATATGTTTTGTTCTCAACATGAAGGAAGAAAATTTCTACTACTGTAAATATAAAAATAGATCAAATAATTGTGGGAAATCTAGAAATAAATGGAAACTATTGTTCCAAAATGATTTTATTGTAACCATATAATACAGTATTACACTAAAGCGACCTACTTCAATTTTACTGAGTTTTCAAATTATTAAACCAGAGGCAATGAAAGGAAATTATAATGAACTCTATTTTCAGTTTTAAAAAAATCCTAAAGTTCATATATTTAACTATTGAGATTGTAATGCACACAAACCAACATCACATCAGCTTATTAGCTTAGGAATTAACACTAACTTGTTAAAAATCTCCAAGAGCATCTGAAATGCAGTGTCCCCTTTTCCTCATAACCACTGATGCAAAATCAAAGTAGGAACTCTTCTACTAGAAAATATCCACAGGAAAGGATGCTCTTCAGCAATTTATACTTCAGTTTTTAAATGTAAATAAGAGGGCCATCAAACAGGCTCCCTCTATAAGGACCTGTACACAGACGCAATCCTGATTTTCATTCTTTATCGACAGAAAAATCTGCTATGATCCTAAAAGAATGCACTCTATCAAAGTGTATTATGTATATTTTATAGGAGTCATTATAATAGATATTCCAAAATTAAGAGATTCATTTAGAAATCTCAAGAAAAATATCATTGGATGGAAATTTCTCCTGACAGCTGTGTAATTTATCATCTCTTTCTACTGCTGGTCATGAATGAAATTCTAGATTCTACTACGCAGAACAAATGAAGCAATTAATGAAAGCATTCAAATTAGAACAGAGGAGGTGGGGGGCGGTGAATGAGGAGGCAGATCCAGCTAAACCCAGTGAGAAAACAAAATAACACCAGAATGTGCATGCAACTGATTATAATAGATATGATATAATGATATCATAATAAATTATGCAGGTCACTGACTGTTCAGAGGCATGCAAAAACACAGGTACACACACCCACGGACTCGGAACCTACAGAACAGGTGGATCCGCAAAATTCTCCACAGGAGGGAAACGAGATAGTTTTCAGTTTAATTATTCATCAGGGCAGTCTTTCACTTCACCCAGAGGTAAAACCTCAGAGCCTCTTTTGAAAAATCACTCTTGGCAACTCTGCAAGACGCTGTGTTTCTTTCCAGAAAAGCCAAATCTGATGTGCCCATCACTGGGCGCGAAGAGAAACCATCTCCTTGAAAGCAAAGGAGGGTCCGGGAAGGATAGGGATTGAGGAGAGGGACCGGGGCTGGCTCTCTGGGGGTCAGAAGTCGGGGTCCGGGGTCTGGGTGGGGGACGAGGGGTCGCGCAGGCGAAGGTGCCCTGCCCAGCACGAGGCAAGAGACTTCAAGTGCCAGAAGGGATCCGACCCGGAGCGTTCCAGCTGAGCCCGAGAGAAGCTCGGGAGGTGCGGGCGCGCAGGTGAGGGAGGGCCGTACCTGGTACTCCGGGTACTCGAACATGTAGCTCATGCTGCACTTGTTCTCCTCGAAGCCGAAGAAGACATCCCACAGCCCCAGGGTAGCCAGAAATACCATGAAGACATAGAACGCCAAGTTCCAGAGGTTGACTGAGTGGAGAAACATGGTGCACCCGAGCGCCTCTACGCCCGGAGAAGCTCCGCAGCCCAGACAGAGCGAGGGAAAGACGCCTGTGCCAAGCCGTGCCCAGCGGAGCAGCGCGCGCCTGCGCGGAGCCCGCCAGCACCCCCTCCCCTTCGCCCGCCGCTCAGCGCGCCTGCGCAACTGCGCACAGCCAGACCGCGGCACCGCCCACGGAGGAGGGAGCTCCGGGCGTTTGCAGCGGGAGCGCGATTGTGAGCCTAAAAGATGGAGAAAGAAAGCGGAGTGGGCTGGACTGGAGGGTATGGAGAGAAAAGGGAGGGGGCGAGAAAGGGAAAGGGGGAAGCGAGGATTGGAGGAAGGAAGGGAGGGGGGGATGGGAGCGCAGATCCCAGAGGCAGGAGAGGGAAGGGCCGGGTGGGTACCATAGGAATTGGCCCAGGGGCAAGGATAATGCCCAAGAGTCCAGAGACTGTTAGTGATCCAGAGCTGACTGGCTAAGGGAGGCAGCACATCAAAGGCTCGCCAGGTGGCTGTCACGAACACCTTTCCCTGCAACAGTTTCAAACCCCATCTTGTTCAATTTTGAACCGCCTCGGGCCCCCGCAATTTCGCTTCAAGCCTTCTTGGACCAACTAGCTTGATTCGTGAGGAGACAAATGGTTTTCACCCTCCCTCTTAGACCACCAACTTGGGCCCTGTAGGTAACAACACTTGAAAGCACCAGCTCATTAAAACAAAACACATGACAGTCAAAGGAAATCCTGTTCTTGGTAGAAACCTAAATCACACGAAGTCTAAAAAAAAAACAATACGAAAATACCCACCAACATGGATGTCACCAGTTGGTATCTGCAGGATCAGGTTGACACTGACTTGAAGTGCTCTCCAAGTCCCCCACGTCTCTGGGGACTGGTTCCATAATTACATTAGAAGAGAATTTTGCTCAAGCTTCTACTCTCTCTCTAATGACTTAATTCACTTTGAAGAATTTCCATTTGTCTTTACACAAAGGAGGGGATTTTAAAAAGCAGATTAAAACCAATAGAAATACTTGTTAACAGCTTCAAAACACTGAAATGATATGAGGTGTCAATCCTTAAAGCTGACCAGAATTCGTCCTCCTCTCTCTCTCTCTCTCT